CTGGATAGTATCAAACTTCTGAGTGTTGGGGCTACACTCATCCAGGCAAGTGAGGAGTATTCCATTACACTCCCAACTTGTATCTTGTAGATGGTGGACAGGCTTTGGGAGTCAGAAAGTGCGTTACTTGCTGCAGTATTCCTAGCCTCTGACCTGGGACAGCAAGGTGACTCAGTGGTTAGCACTGCTGCCTCACAACGCCGGAGCCTCGGGTTCAATTCCACCCGCTGGCGACTGTCTGTGTGGAGTTTGCACATTCTCCCCATGTCTGCGTGGGTTTCCTTCGGGCGCTCCGGTTTCCTCCCACAGTCCAAAGATGTGCAGGCTAGTTGGGTTGGCCATGCTAAATTGCCTGTAGTGTTCAGGGATGTGTAGATTAGGTGGGGGATGGGTCTGGATGGGATGCTCTGAGAGTCGGTGTGGACTTGTTGGGCCGAAGGGCCTGTTTCCACACTGTAGGGATTCTGTGATCTATGATCTTCTCCTCTTGTAGCTACTGTGTTTATGTGGCGAGTCCAGTTGAGCTTCTGGTCAATGATAACCTACAGGATGTTGATAGTGGGGGATTCAGTGATGGTAACACCATTGAATGTCAAGGGCTGGTGGTTAGACTGTCTCTTACTGGTAATGGTCATAGCCTGGCATTTCTGTGGCACGAATGTTACTTGTCACTTGTCAGCCCAAGCCTGGATATTGTCCAGATCTTATTGCATTTAGACACCGACTGTTTCAGTTTTTGAGCAGTTGCGAATGGTGCTGAACATTGTGCAATCATCAGCAAACATCCCCAATTCTGACCAGGTCTTGGGTCTCTCTCTGATAGTTTGGAAGCAAAGGGAAAGCATTATACAACTTAAGCTTCTTTTTGGAAGGGAAAACAAATATTATTATTAATAATAAAATGAAAGAACAGATTCTCAGATCTGCCAGGATATATCTAGAAAGCTTAGGTCTTTAACATTGAATAAAATGGGTTTCTAATGCCACCCAATGGTGCCTTGCCCAAGAGACCACTTCCCACTCCTATTGTCATATTCGAAGATAATGCTCAAACATGGAGCTCTGACAAATTTGCCCGAGTTGGCAATGTCAGTTAGCTAGTAAACACGTTTTCCCCCCTCAAATCTAAATGAAAAATTGTTGCTTTTAACTCATGCACAAAGGTCACCTTTATAAACCTCGCTGAGGAGGAAAATTTAGTCAGTTCCCGATTCAGATTACCCAGTGTTCCTACAGAAGATTAAAACAATAAAAGCCATACTAAGCGTAATGAAACAAGTACTTCCTTGTGCTTCAACACAAATGGAAAGAGATTTTTCCATTTCAAATGAAGATTTGCTGTAGTTAAAACAGTAAAGGCAGTGTAGCTTTCTGAACTATTTAAGTTGAAGAAGAGCAAGCAAGTGGAACAAAACTTCAAGGTTCCTCAAAAAGAACTTTTTGACTGAGGAAGGAAAAAAACTTAACTGCAGGATTAGAATATTGAAGTTAAAAGAAACTAAGTTCCGCAAATTAAAAGACTTGGAAAGAAGCATTTAAAATATTTTAAGTGCAAAATGCCCAAATCTGAGACATTGTATTTTTGGGCAGTTTGACTTTTTGTTTTGTCATTTTGCAGATGCTGTTAGCTGTTAGAAATAGACAATCACCATTTAATTTAAACTTCTGTTTATGTGCTATTTATTCAGACTTCAAAGTTAAGCCTTGATCACAGTATTGTAGAAGGTAGAATGTGTGGTTTAATAACATTAAACAATAGAGGAATAGGCTATAAGGAACCATGAATCTGCTGCACCTGTCAATAAATGCCTAGTGAACTTCTGCATCTGCTGTTTTCTCAGCCTCTTCCTCAATTCCCTTAGTGGCTTAAAATATATTGACTTTAATTGAACATGCTCACATCTCTGGGATAATATGTTTGAATGGTTCAAAACTCTTTGAAGTGTGCAATTTCTCTTTCTTTCAACCCCAAATGGTTTATCTACCCACCCCCAGGGTCTCCCCTCTCTCTGCAGTTGGGACTGCGACAGCACTAGTTCATGGTATCCTGGCTGTTGGTTGTTTAAATACATCGAATTCAATTACGGACTCAGGACTGTCCATTTCGCTGTCACACTGTTTGTATGACAGAACAGAACAAGGAGCTTTGCAATAGCAAATGCAATACCAAATAGCCTTAGCTTCAAAATTAGAGCAAAAATGTTGAAAAACTGACATTACCTCTCCATTTCTGAGGCACCAGTTAACGATCCAGACATACTTTCATTCATTGCAGTTTGATTACTATCTCTTTTGTTTGGTTCTAATCCAACTTTTATGTCATTAAAGTTTTCATACTTTAAAGCCTGGACAAGCTGAAGCAGGTACATGAGCAAATCCTATCAAGGACATAGAAGTTTCAGGAATTTAGTTTAAGAATATATTGCATGGATCAAATACAAAACTGCAAGGATTTCAAAGAAAGCACTTGCACATCTAAAAAATAACACTCTCACAATCTAGCATTGACTATTTGCGAATCATATACTGGTAAAATCAATAAACAGCTAAAACAAAGATATGGAAGAAAATATTTACTAAATATTTTGACTGTCAACTAATGCTACTTCTAAAATGACAATGTTTAATTACAATAAACAGTAAGTGCTGATCTATGGAGAGAGAAACAGGGTTAACATGTTGAGTCCAGTATGACTCCTCCTTGGAAGTTCCTTGAGCGAATCGTATCATCTGAAGGTTGGCACCTTTGATGCTGATGAGCTCAGAAGCAGGCTGAGATAGATCGCTCCACTTGACATTTCTGACTGAAAGTGTTTGGAAATGCTTCAAGTCTTGTCTTTGCACTGACGTTTTTGGACTTGCCCATTATCCAGGATAGGGATATTAGTGCAGACTCCTCCTCAAATGAATTTCTTAGTTGTCGACCATCATTCATGACTGGTTGTGGCAGGACTGCTTGCTTTGACTTACACACTATGAAAGTCACATTAAATAGGATTCCTGACTCTACTCATGGTCAGCTGATCTGCAACAATGTGCTCTCCAAGTCTTTACATTAGCAGAGAGCTTTGGATAGGTGATGAGAGGGCTGGTGAAGTGGGACTTGGAAGTCAGAACCTGAGCATGTCTCTACCTGTGCTGATGCTACAGGTTTTGTACTTTGCAAAAGTACCAGAAGGAGAGAGAATAAAGATTCATACTTGCAAAAGGGTGTGTTACACAATATCAGGTTATTAAACGTGCTTACTTTTTGAGTTACATATATATTATTGTTTCCAACATTTTCCAGGGTTGTCTCTTTCTGGTTGCTGTCCAGCAAGTAGCTTTTCATTTGTGACAATGGCAAAATAAAAATTAATGCCGGACAATGTTGGGGGGTGGAGGGAAGTACTTAAAGAAATGCTTCATATTTAAACTTGTATGTCGTAATGCTGTCAAGGCGAAAAGTTATTCCAAATAAAAAAGGAGGACTCAATGAGAAGGATAAAATACCCGTGAGTAAACAAAGGTGGTCAAGAAGAGCATCCAAACCAAAACTAAAGCATTCAAAGCCAGAGGATGGGATTTATTTTTAGGAAACAGTTATGGGTGACTACAATGCTAATAAAGAGGGAGAAAAATCAAACCGCAAATACAGAAAACAAACAGCAAGAGGTTCTACAAGTATATAAAAAGAAAGTAGCTGCGTGTGAACCCTTACAGGATATATCTGAAAAATTGATAACTGGCAAAAGGGAAATAGCAAATAATCTAAATCAATATTTTGCATCAATCTTCATGGGAAGATACTGCAAACAGCCCAAAGATAACAAATAAGCAAGGTCCTAACGGAAAGAAAGGTGTTGTAACAGTCTCTATCACAAGGTACTTGACAAACTAATGGGACTAAGGGCAGACAAGTTGCTGGGACCTGTTGGTCTACATCCAAGAGTTTTAAAGAAAGTAGCTGCAGAGATATTGGAGAGTTTGGTCAAAATATTCCAGAACTCACTGGATTCCTGGAGGGCACTAAAGGTTTGGAAAACTGCTAACGTGCTGCTCTTGTTCATGAAGGGAGGGAGACAGGAAGCCATGGGCCAGTTAGGTTAACATCCTTCAGTAGGAAAATACAGAGCCCATTGTTAAGAAACAAACAGCTGGACATTTAGAAAAGCTTAACGCATTAAACAGAGTCAACACGGTTTTATGAAAGGGTAACCATGTTTGACAAATTTGCTATAGTTCTTTGAGGATATAATAAGCAGAGTTGATAAAGGGTAACCTGTAAATGTGTGTATTTGGAGTTTCAAAGGATCTTTGATAAAGTGCCACAAAGAAGATTATTGCATAGCAACAGCTCACAGCATTAGAATAATGCATAAGCATAGATTAAGGATCGGTTGATGCACAAGATTCAGAAGTCAGAATTCATGTGTCTTCTTCAGATTGGAAAGACTTAATTAGTCAAGCACCACAAGGAATAGTCTTAGGAGCTCGATTATTTGCTATCCATATTAATGACTTTTGATGAGGAGGGGGCAAGAATGCATAATATCCAAACTTGCTGATGATTAAAATAAAAATGAGAGAGAGCACATTTTGATGAGGCCATAAAGGAATCTGCAAGAGGATACACGTACAAAATCAGAAATTGCTGCAGAAAGGCATGAGGTCTGGCAACACCTAAACAGAGAAAACAGTTAACATTGAGTCCAGTGACCCTTCTTCAGAACACTGAACCTTCTTCAGGATTACTGGAATCAAAACACTAATGCTGCATTCTCCAGTAATTTCTATTTTTATTTCAGATGCTCAGCATCCATAGGTGTTTGCTTTACTTTAGGGAAAACAAGTAAGTTGAGTTGGTGGACAAAAGCTTGATGTAGGATATAGTTTGATGTAGGATATGCAGTGAAGCAGGAAGATTCAAAAGGCAGATTAGTATTTGAATGGAGTGACATGTCGAACATGTAAAGATCAGAGAGATATGGGTGTTCTCATGCATGAGACACAAAATGTTGGTGTGCAGGTGCAGCAAGTAATTAAGATGTCAAATGGAAATGTAGCCTTTATTGCTAGGGGATTGAAGCTTAAAAATAACGAAGTCACATTACAATTGTACAGGGGTTAGGTGAAGCTGCATCTCTAAGTGTGTAAAGTTTTGGCCTGTATTTAAGAAAGAATGTATGCTGGCATTGGAGGCTGCTCAAAATACATTCACCAAGTTGATTCTTGGGATGAAGGGGTTGAGTTATCAACAACAGTTAAAACAGCCAGGCCTGTTTTGAAGAATGAGGGGTGATCTCATTGAGTCAGTCAAGATTCTGAAAGGGTTTGACAGGGTAGATGTTGAGAAGATGCCTTCACCGGTGGAGCAATGTCAAGTTAGGGGACATCCATTTGAAACTGAAGTGCAAAGGAATTTCTTCTAGCAGATGGTAGCGAAAGTCTGGAATTCTCTACCGGAGTGTTGTGGATGCGAGACCACACAGTATTTAAAGGTTGTTTTGTTTTAAATATTAGGGATCTGTGGGCTATGTTGAGCTGGAAAGAAAGAAGAATCCTTGGGCATAATCATCAGCCATGACCTTATAGAATGGTTGGGCAGGCTGGAGGGTATGAAGACGTACTCCTAATTCTACGACTGTTTGCAATACTACTTCATCTTGTGACTGAGTAACAGCTTTTATATCTGTGTCAGATTGTGGACCAGCAGTGTCTAAGGGAACTTTGCAATAATGACTGCACCTAGGACATATGTACCACTTCTGGTATATTGGGCATCTCATGTTCCACTTGGAGACTCTATGCTCTGCAGCCCATTTCTCCTGCAATTCCAAGCCTCTCAACTGTCCATATCTATGCATATCATAGCAAACAACCATCATTCTGAAGACCCTGGCTGCTGCAGACTGAATAGCATCTCTGGATCTGTACAGGCAACTTCCACGTGCACATGGCTTGCTCATGATATATTTGTTTGCTGTACAGCTTTCACTGTAACATTGTTGAGCCTTGCAGTCAAATTCCACATGAGCATAATCAGCCACATATTAAGCAGGTATTCATGTTTTCCAAGAAGCCATCTGGTGAGTCTACTTCACTGTGGCAAGAAGATCCAGGAAAGTGGAAAGTCACAGAATTAAAGCATTACAGCAGCTTCCTGTGAATTTTGTCCATGTCTGCATTCACATTTTTGTGGTTCCACACCAATTGTTTATTGGAGAAGTGTGGCAGTCTAGCAATTGATTAACACTCCTGGTGATTTGTGATGCTTTTAATTGCTACCAATATGCAGGTCATGTTGCCTGTAACTTGTGTTTGACTCTACTAGCATTCTACAAGTACCCAATTACTTCGACCGCCATCAATGGCAAAATTGATATGATTATTGGTTCTATCAAACAGGATAATGTATTTATGGATGAACAACAGAGATCAACCAAACGTCTCAGCACATGCCTGGAAAAGCAACACAGACAACAGAAGTTGAAAGAGGTAGTCACTTTGATCGGTGATGTGTGGCTAGTAGGTTCACTTGACAGCAAATCTTGTTCCAGCAAGATGCATATGTGCGTCATCACCCAACACAAGGCCCTAGTCCTCCTGAGGTATCGTGCATTCCAATGTATCATGAAAGCTTATCTTTTGATTGTACAATGTGTTACACATATTGCTTGCTCCTAGCTAGGTCATTCTGCTCATCCTCTTTCTCTCGAGGTAAGTCCACCAGAAGCGGGCTAGTGCTGTTCCCACTCATCATTTTTGTCTTCACCAGCTGTTCAAAGCAAAAGAGCTTATATAGCACCTATTCAGATCTGTTAAGGTTAGAGCTACAAAATGAAGGTCAGAAATACAAAATCTAAAATGTTGTAAAAGTTAATGCTCAGCACAAGAACAAAGCCTTTCACAAAATCAAGCAAGAAAGCTGCTTTAAATATCCAGTACTACTGAACATATTAAAGCTTTAGCCTCATCACTGGAAGTCTCAATCAAGATCACAAATGCTTTTTAAGTGGCCATTTTCTTTTCACTGGAGTTGTACACAACTAGTTTGGCCGCTGACCCTACCAGATAGGCTTCCAATGACCTATACAAAACAGAGTAGGCTTCCTGTAAACCAGAAACCCTTGACCTGGGACAATTCCGGCAAGTACCATGTTACATCACACTTGTTGACCAAAGATATGGGCAACTTATCCAACGATGAAACATGCATACAAAAACAATCTTTCCTGGAACTCCGTTAGGCTCCCCATGTTGATCTTATATCACTGACAATACAATGCCAATTATCAAGAGACAGTCTAAGCTACTGGAAATGAATTTTCAAAGCTCCCCTTGCTCTCAAATTTTGAAGAAGTCTGACAAATTGGTTTCAAAACTCATTAGGAAAATATCATTGACATTAAAAAAGTGTTAGAAATTAGAACTTGGATAACAGGCATCTTGATAATATACTTGTTTTGGGTTGAGTGACACCTCCTCAGAACAGAGTTTTGAGGAAGTGTCACTCAACCCGAAACATTAACTCTGGTTTCTCTCCACAGATGCTGCCAGACCTGCTGAGCTTTACCAGCAATTTCTGTTTTTGTTTCTGGTTTACAGCAACCACAGTTCTTTCCGTTTTAATAAGCTATTCAAGCAAATTAATTCTCAAAAGATCCTACATGAGTTTAATCTAATTCAACCTACAATATTCTTACCTCATCATCAGCTTGCTGTAACCTAGCAACAGCATACCGTCTTACAGTTGGATTAGTGAATTGGGAGGAAAGCAACTCAAGACCATCTTCCACATCCATTGGTTTCCACTTTCCTAATAACTCCAAGGCTTGTTTAGCTTCTTGGGCCAAGTCCCAATTTACACACTTTAAAAATTTAGTCAAAGCCTACAGAAGAGAACTACATTTAGTAAAGTATCTTTACAAATCAAGTTTTGCATTTCCTTAGTTGTCTTAGGTATTTGCTTTGCTAATTACTACTGCAAGTTTCATAAGAAATGGTAACTATGAACTTGCTGGGTTAATTGAATACTAACATTATTGTACAAGGCTAGGTACTCAGAAAAGTCTTGTCAAAATGGATGCAGATGTTGTTGAATCATTCAAGATTGAGTAATGAGACATTATAATAATTACATTAATGATATATATGCCAATGTCAACCCTTTAGCACTAGCAGGAAATTATTTTTAGCAATAAATTCTTCTTGATTATTGAAAACACGCATAAACGGATATTTTGGTCAATTTGCCCCAGAATTGTAATGGTAATAGGAGTGGTAATATGGAAACAAGTCTAAACTAGTGGTTTCAATCATTGCATGTAAAACAAATTATTCAATTTGTATCTGAGCAGTCACAAAGTCTTTTCCACTAACAAATACACTATTAAAAAAACTCACCTTTTCTTGGTTGGTGAGATAATATCTAAATTTCCAAACTAGATCTTGTTCTTCAGAGGACAGTAGTTTAGTGGGAGGATAATTTAAAATAATCTGGGGGGAAAAAAAAAGTGACTTCTTAGAAACTCTATACATTACAACGTAGATTAAGCCTAATACTCTACAAAAAGTTAATTGTATAAAAGAATGTAAACAATGAAACTTCTCACTGTGTTTAAGACATTGAAAGATAACTTTGCAGCGAGGGTTGCTCAAGTAAAGGAACTGGCAACTTTTCTACTTCAGACATTGCAGATGTAAGCATTCATAAATTCATTAGATTCCCCCTCTCCCGCATTGCCAAGACTTTTGTCAAGTCTGAGCCACATCAGCACAAACCCAATTCTCTTTACGCATCTGTTAAAAGTATATATGCAAACTTCTTCATGCAGGGATTCAATCTCATATTGAGTTATTAACATCTACAAAAACAACACAGCATTGAGACCTAAAGTGGTCCAACATGGAAAAACAGAGCAGTGTTATATTCAAGTACAATTTAATTGCTTTCATCCACGCAACAGCATAGATACCTTAAAGAAACCGAGTCATAGATGACAAGGACCACAAGCACAAGCGCCCATCTTAAATGTAGATGCTTGCGTCCCTAGGTTTCAACAGAAGGAGCATCTGAATTGATCTGCAGCGGAGGCATATCCACTATCAGGAACTTAACTACTTTAACTTTACCCAACAGAAGTGCATAAGAAGTGATAAATTAACTAGATCATCTCCAAGAAACAAGCTGCATCATCAGCACTTTGCTGCCAATAAGGCCGGTATTTTCAATCCATGGTTGCAGTTGTCTAAAGTATGCTATTTATTCCTGCTCAATTACTAGTTTAGTGGATTGTTGCACTTCTTCCTTTGATATCTTTCATTTAAACACAATTGAGTGACCAAAATACAAATCTGTTGTAACAAAGATTCTACCAAGTAGAATAAATTTGAACGTTCTATTAAGTAACAGGGCACCATTTATACTGTTACTTTAGAGCTGTTGCAAATCGATTTCCATTAAGCTTGTAATATAAATCTAGCAAAAATAAAGACTCCCCATAGGGAACTGCCTGAAACAACATGAGCTGACATTGGATGAAGTATAATTCTAATTCGGTGTCAAAACTATATTACAAAGTGTTCAGAAGCTCATTTGGAGCAAGTGACAGGAAAGGCATTCACACTGCATTCTCAAAATTCATTCACGCTCAAAGCACATGGACCGAAGAATTCTAAAACATCTAGGTAATGGACAAGAACAAACATTATAGCTAGCACAGATTGATAATCAAAAAGAAAAGAATGTGCAGATGGGATCACGGAGGTATCAAATTGCTAAAAGAAAAATCTTGTTCACTAATGCTCTGTGAGAAATTAAATTTACTGTCTTGCACTGTCTGATTCATGTTTGACACAATGAAACTTTTGTAAGGCAACTGGGGGTGGGCAATAACTTCCAGCTTTCCCAGTGTTTAATACGATTCAATAATTAAAGAAATAAATTGGGAAATATACCCAAAAGGTGAGAAAAAAATTATCTAGCTGATATATTTCACGTTTTCAGACAGCCCAAAGTACCCACAGTGAATGAAGTCCTGTTGCAGGAGAAATACATGTAACAATGTCCACAAAATAAAATAGCTGACCAGTTTATCTGTGGACCTGATTGGAAGGATAGACATTGACCAAGACATCTAAACTCACTGCCCTTCTTCTGAAGAGATACAGAATCTAATGTAAATCTCTTCAAACAACAGTTGTTCTGACAATGCTGCATCATCTTTGTGTTGAATGTTGAACATTAGCTAGATTATGTACTCAAGCACTGAAGTGAGCCTTTAACCCAGAGCATTAAAGCCAACTCAACCAGTTCCCTGGTCAATCTCTGCACTGAGATGGTTAAAACAGCCGGAATAATTTTGTGCATATTTTCACTGCATTAACTTAGTAAAATGCACTAAGATGTTTCACAGAAGCATTTAATGTCTGGAGAGGACATTGCATGAATTAGCACAGGGGCCACAAATCTTTGGAGAATCTCAAGTTTACAGTGGGATTGCAACCAGGAGAACATTGGAGAGTCAAGCTTAGATGTTACAAAGGAATGGATGAGGGTTTCGGAAGCAGACGAACTGAGGGAAATTTTTACTCAGAGGAAATTGCAGAATTTTTTTGTTTTTTTTGCCTTGGTGTTAGTTTCAATCTGTACTTGGAACCTCAACTTGAGGTCAAATATCTCAGCATGATTGCAAACAGTCTGGTTCAGCCTTACACAGTTGTCTGTGAATGGAATTTGAGGCAATGATCAATCCTTGCAATATTTAGTTGGATGTAATTATGTTTATATAGTACTGGAGATCATACAAGGAGTTGATAGCTTAGAGACAATGAAGAAATCAGGAGAGGTAGTGGTGGTGACGGCATGATAGAACTGATGTAGTCAGTGCGTGAGTGGGAATTGATTTTTCATTTTCAGATGATGTAATCTGATGAGAAATAAGACAGGATGAAGGATAGATCATAGGGACACAACAGATAATTATGAAGGAGCGCAAAGAGAAGTCATTGTAGCGGATACTGTGTGAGAAAATGCATGTCACTTTAACTTAGTGACAATCTCTCACCTCCTTTAACATCCTTGGAAGCATTTCATCGAGTTCCTTTATCAGAGTCTCAAGTACCAGGAACAAATCCAATATCTCCCACTTTCGATTTTAAATCTTTCAAATGAATGGATTCCACTTCCGTCACCATGGCCTGTGCAGCATCTACCGATATGCAGTGCTTGCTTTTCTTTCCTGGACACACAGTGCTCTAAGAAATTCTTCTAAACACAATCTATGACCACTTGTATCTCACTGCACCTTCCATTAGCACTCTCTCAGTCGATGTATGGATAACTAAAAAGCCCCCCCATTCATAACTACTGAATGATGCTCATTCCACTGTCTAAAATTTGGTTGCAGATTTGTTCCTGTATAGTCCTCAAACTAGCTGGTGGTCTATATATTACACCAAGCAATTTATTTGCAACTTTATTCCATAGCTCCAGTCAAAATGATGCAATCCTTGAAACATCTAAAATATCTGCTTTCTTCAGTACTGCAATGCTGTCTAAATAGGAACACCACCCCTCTTTTTCTCTTTCCTACTGTTTTTGGATATCTTGTAACTAGGAATATTTGAACATCAAATCCCACATTCCCTTAAACTAGGTCTCCATTATAACTACACCATAATTCCACAATTCAATCTGTGCCTGCAACTCCCCAACCTTATTGCCAATATTCCATGCATTCACATTCATGCAATGTAAGACTGATTTTGATTTCATTACTTTCTCGCTTACTTGGATTCCAGTTATTAAGTTTTGTATTCTCTATTTTTTGGTACAATCTGCCTCACCCAGCATTTCGGGCACTCTGGTATTAGTTTTTTAATTTTCTTTCCTGGTTCGCACATCCCTACTGATTTAGTTTAATCTCTTTCTGATAATCCTAGCTCCACATCCTGCCAGGAATTCAGTTCCGGCTTGTTCAAATGCAACTTGTCCAACTTGCACAGGTGCTGGTTCCCTCAGAGCCAGTACCGAAGTCCCAGGAAGACCTCTCTACTGCACCATCTTTCCAGCCACGCATTCACCTGTCTTCTCTTGCCATTTCTGTACTCATTTGCACGTGGCACTGGGAACAATCTAGAAATTGCTACTTTAGAACAGAACAGTACAGCACAGTACAGGCCCTTCGGCCCACGATGTTGTGCCGAACTTTAGAGGTTTGGTTTAACAATTTTTTTCTACCCTGAATTACAAATGTAGGACCATATCCCCTGTCCAAGCTATATCATTAGTATGAATGAAGACTACAACTCTGACTGCTCGCCCTGCCCCAGAAGAATGTTTTGCAGCTATTCTGACATTCCAGACCCAAGCAGAGGTCACACAGAAACAGGGAACTAAAGGATCCTCTATCTGCCCTTCTGCTTTGCTTTCTTCTCTTCCGTACAGTTGAGCTATCTCTGATGCTACAGCCCCAGCTCTTGCTGCACTCCCTCAAGGATCAATTGCCCTCACTGATATCCAAAGAATGGAAAACTGGTTAGTGAGCAGGACCTCTGGGGACTCTGTAGTATATGCCTGTTTCCTTTGGATTACCCAGGGGTCATCCATTCCCTATTTGTCTGCTTCTTGGCTATACCTTGGTGACTCTAGCTGCTGTTTGAGCTCCAAAATGCTTTAAAGATAATTTATCCACTGAGCCAAAATGGATTTATGAATAGAATTAGTGTTCTAATAAATATGATTCAAGTTACAAAACTATTTAAAAGTGAAACATTAAATATTTTAATGCATTTTTCAAATAAAAAGTTTTGAAAATTTCTACTTACATTAAGCTGGTCACGGGTAGCAGCATTTGGCTTCAGGTCATGATCCGAAGGTCCACTTCTCAAGCTTCGAGCAAGTTTATGATGCTTGCTTTCTACTAAGTTCTCCTACCATTTAAAAAAAAGTTACTCAGGTTCCTGATTTATACAATTGGATTTCTTTAAATTAGCGTATTTAAAGTTATCATTTTCAATTAACTATATGTTAATCAAATAGAAGTACATTAACGCAGGGGAACGAAAGATCTGTCGACTGCAAGTACTCCCCAGGCAGCAAGAGCAACTGCAAACTTACAATGTCAAACAACAGTAACATTTTTAAGAAATCTGAAACTCTAGCAAAACATAGGCAAAAGGATGAAGTCTCAAGATTCCAAGGGTTAAAACAATAAAATGATCACAATACATGAATCAAACAAAGTAAACACTGAGGTTACCTTAGATAACCTAACTTCCAAAACTCAAATTCAAATAATGTTACACATCAATTAACAGATAAATTGCAGTTAATTATTAACCACATCTATAAATTAACTAACAGATAAAACTATCACAGATCTTACAAATTGGTTCAGCAGTCTACTCAGCACACAAGTCATCAAACTCAATCAAAAGGCTGTTTGAATCCTGTTTTCCTCAAGAAGAATTTCAGTTCTTCTGCTACTTAGTTGTAGTCTAATCCCCAGGCAACAGAAGTAAAGAACCATAATCCCATGGGTACAGCCTTCACCAGAAATGGCACATATCTGCAGGACTTCAACTCTGTCCAGATGGTGTATAACCATTAAACATTACCTTCAAGTAACAGAAATAGCTAAAGCTATGTGTATTTGTTTATTCTCAGCTTTTAGGTGCTGTCCCCATCAGTTTTCCTTGCCACATCACTAGAGTCATCAACTTCTACTGGGGTCTGAGGACCCTGTGACATTTTACATTGTTCAACCAGTTTGAACGTGCCAGAGGTCTTGGTTTTAAACCTCAGTCAATCGATCATCAGAAAGGTAAGTTTCCTTTCTCAGCTTCCCTTTTCAATTAATATCTGTCAAAAAATACAAGTTTTGTGGATGTGATCTACTTGGATTTCCCATAAGGCATATCATTAGGCATCAATCAAAAAAGATGCAACACAAAATAAGAGCTTGTGGTGTAGGCAGTAAGTTGTTAACATGAATGGAGGATTGGTTAACTGGAATGGAGGAAGCAAATAGAAAGGCTAAAATAGTCATTTTTGGGTTGGAAAAATGTGACCAGTGGAGCACCACAGTGATCAGTGATGGGGTCTCAACTATTTACAATCTATATTATTGATGTGCATGATAGAACTAAACGTACATTTGCTAAATTTGCTGATGACACAGAGATAAGGAAAAGAGTATGCTGTGAAGAGGACATTAGAAATCTGCCAAGGGAAATAGGTAGTTCAAGGAATAAACAAAAACTTAGTAGATCAAGTACAAAGTGGGAAAAGTGAACTTGTAATAGGAAAACAGAGGATTTTTCAAAGACGGAGATTGTAGAACTGTCATAGAGGCATTTAGGTGTGCCAGTACATGAATTGCAACAATTTATAATGTATGTATACTAAAGGATTAGGAAGGCAAATCATTTTTTGCAAAGGGAATGGAATATAAAATGGTAGGCAAGTTTTGCTACAGTTGTATAGAGCATTGGCGAGACCACATCCAGAGTACTATGTACAGATTTGGTCTCTTTCTTTAAGAAAGGACATAATAAGCAGTTGAATGAAAGTTTGCTAAACTGCTCCTTTGGAGAAGGGGGCAATCATATGAGCAAAGGTTGGACATGTTGGGCGAGTCAACATTGAATTTGGAAGATTAAAGGGGTGACCTTATTGAAACATACTTGATCCTATGGGGATGTGACAGTTTGGCTACTGGTAAGATGTATTCCCTGAGAAGAGAGACAAGAACTAGTGGGCGGAATAAGCATCCCAATTAAACTTGAGATGAGAATTACTTTCTCTGTGGTTGTTAGCATGTGAAGCATTCTTCCCCCATCAGCAATGGAGATAGAGTCATTGAATAATTTTAAGGCTGTTAAATATATTCTTGATTGCACAGTGAGTCAGAGGTTATTGTGGTTGCTAGGAAAGTAGAATAAAAACAACAATCAGATCATTCATGATCATATCAAATGGCTGCAAAGGTTCAAGGGGATGAATGACCGACTGCTGTTCCTAATTTGCATGTTTTAGATTCCATCACAACGTATAACGAAGTTCACTTAAGTACAATCAAGCAACATGGAATATCCCTAACAAACAGAAAACGCTGGAGAAACTTGGCAGGTCTAGCAACATCCATGGGGGTTAGGGGGGAGAAGAGAGAGAGAGGGAGGGACAGCAGGAGAGCGGTAGAGAGAGATGGACAGGCTAGGCCTGCATCGTCTGGAGTTTAGAAGTCAGAGGTGATTTAACTGAAACATATACAATCCTGAGGGCACTTTAGTGGGTGAATGCTGAAAGCATGTTTCCTCTTATGTGAGAACAGGGTCACAGTTTAAAAATAAGGGGTATGATGTGGAGGAGCCACTATTGGACTAGGGTAGACAAAGTCAAAAGTCACACGACACCAGGTTAAAGTCCAACAGGTTTATTTGAACTAACAAACTTTTGGAGGACTGCCCCTTTGTCAGGTAAAGCGAAGAGAGCTCCCAACTCATTGATCGCCAGTCCTGACATGCCACAGTGAAAAACCGCAACAACCTCCTCAGAAGACAGACACAAGGTACGACCGATAGAGTGCCCTTCATATCCAGTACTTCCCTGGAGCACAGAAACTACGCCATGTTCTTCGCAGCCTTCAACATGTCATCAATGATGACGAACATCTCGCCAAGATCATCTCTACGCTCCCACTACGCTCCTGCCCTCAAATAACCATCAAACCATAAACAGACCATCGTTTGCAGTAAACTACCCAGCCTTCAGGACAACATCAGCTACAACATCAATCAACCCTGTCACGATAATCTCTGCAAGACATGTCAGATCACCGACATGGATACTACCGTCACACGTGGGAACACCACCCACTATGTACACAGTAGATACTCATGTGACTTGGCCAATGTTGTGCACCTTATACACTGCAGGCAAGGATGCCCCAAAACCTGGTATATTGGTGAGATCGTGCAGACGCAAAGAAAATGGATGAATGGGCACCACGCACCAATCACCAGACAGGAACATTCCCTCCCAGTGGGGGAACACTTGAGTAGTCAAGGACATTGAGCCCCCGATCTTCAGGTAAGCATCCTCCCAGGAGGCCTTCAAGATAACAACCATGCAGAATCGCTAAGCAGAAACTGACAGCCAAGTTCTGTACCCATGAAGACAGCCTCAACCATGATCTTGGGTTCCTGTTGTGCTACATGTGACCCCACCATGCTGCTCTGTAGAATCTTCCCTACTGTCCTGTTTTAACATCATCACCTTGATAACTTGTTGTGATCTTTCTACCTTAATTAGTCTGTACAGTTTTGGTTTACTTGTTACTTTGGTTTACTTGTTACTTTGGTTAGACCCTCAGCGTGTGACCCTTCTACTTTGCATGTTATTCCAGTCATTTGGTTTGTCTTCAGCACCACCTTATTTTTAAGTTTTTGTAATTATCTCTCTGCCTTAATTAATCGGATTATATGTCATCTCTTCACTTGCTATTCAGCTGCTGACACTTTACTCACACCGTCTGACACTTCTGATCAGCTGCAGAGACCAATTATTTGGCCTGTCGGCATTCCGCTCGCACCACTTGTACGATCTTGTTATCTCTCTGCCTATAAATTCTGAGCCGTGTACTTCTCTTCACTTCACCTGGCGAAGGGTACCACTGCTCCAAAAGCTTGAGATTTCAAATAAATCTGTTGGACTGTGACCTGGTCTGTGTTACTTTTGACCTTAAAAGGGGGCACCTATTTAAAACAGAGACTAGGAAACATTTTTTCTCTGAGAGTTGAAACGCTTTAGAATTCCCTTCCTCAAAGCCTGTGGACGCAGAATCTTTAATTTTTTTCAAAGCACTGGTGGAAAGACTTTTGACTACCAAGGAGATGAAATATTATGGGGGAAATGTACAGTAGAGGTTAAAATCAGATCAGCTGTTATCTTATTGAATGGCAAACAGACGTGAAGAGCCAAGTGGTCTATACTTGGTCCTTGTTTGTACGCATACAAAGAATATTAAAATTGTATTTCTAGATATAGAGGTAATGTTTCAAAATCAGTCATAAAAAACTTATGCAAATTGTTGACAAAAGTATTTTTTAGAATTTATTTTTAAATATACCACACAATGGGTGCAACTTTAGCAAATATTGCCCTTTGTCAAGCATCCTAATGCCCGTTCTACCTTATTGAAAGTCCTTTAAAGATTTTATTGAGAAAAAAAAAGACAAATCTTCACAGAAATAATCTATTTTGAAGTTATACATACCATTGACATCTGAGGGTCTGGCACTTTGACAATCTCTGAGCTTGTTAGATTTGGAGATGATTCATCACCATCCTAATCGAAAATGCATTTGGAGAGATAAAAGCCAATTAGTCTGAGAAGTGTCAATAGAAATGGTCAAAAATGGAACATATTTAAATATCATCTGAACATCAATGGTATCCATAAAAGGAACAATACACTGGCTTGAAACAGAAAGCATAGTTGATTTCTTAGGCAATAATTTGATTAACTGAAAGTATACATCAATTTAAAGTATACTGATGAAAAATAATTTACACTTTTTAGGTACTACGTTTTAATGAAGTTCTAACATTGAATTGCAAGCTGCCTCCCGTACCAAAAATTTATAAGTACTTCTCACAGTTCAAATTTTGATAATATGACACATTTGCAAGGATCATCAAGGAAGTGCAAATAAATGGAGGCACTACATGTCAGTGCCTCCAATTAGAACTAAAAATGTGATAAGCCAAGGTGTAGTCACAAAAGAAAAACAACTTTGTCATCATCACAAAAGAAAAACAACTTTTTTGAGTTTGCATTTGGAATAAACCAACATTATCTGGCATGCAAATTAACTTTAAAATTTTTCTTTCTTTCTCTAAGTTTGCAAAGAACAATTATTCCACCATCTTATGTAAATAATTGTAGGAGAAAAATGAGCATTTATACACAATAATAATGTATGTACAAGATATAACAAAAGACATTAACAAACCTTTTCATAATAAACAATACTGTATTCTTTGTCTTCAGATTTAACACGTGGAAATTCAACCATAAGATACATAAAATTAGAGCTTCTTTTTTCACTCTTCAACAAAGACAAAAGATGTGAATTAGCAAACATTTTGCCTTTATCAAAATGAAAATCTTCACAAAAGTGATATTACAAAGCTTTTATTTCAAGTTAATCAAATAAAGCATGGGAATTCAGACCCAAAGACACAGAATATATCCACAGAATATAAAAATTTCAAAGCAAATATTAATATACATTTTTAAAATACTGCTCCAACAATTCCAGCTTACCTCATTTATCATCTCTATCTCTCTAAAAGTCAGTCGGTCCAGCCAATCAACTTTCACCATGTGACCTTGACGATGCGCTTTGGTGAGCTTTAAGAAAAAAACAAAATCAACTTTGCAATAATCTTGGCATATAACTGATGATTTAAAATAATCTAAAATAGTTCAACATCAGAAACTAAAGGTAAGCAAATCAACTGCAAATGACTTAGCGGTGAAGAACAGAATTCTTAATAACTATAGAGCAATTTCAAAACAAGCAGAATTTTAAAATCGTGCAAACGTACGTCAACAAACAGAAGAGTAATGAGTGAATGGTACTTCATGCAAGTTAGTTACAGCATTGTTTGGATGACATTATGTTTACGAAGGTTAAACTGCAGAATGCCAGCCCAGGAATGAAAATTAAGTCTGGAGGTAACAAATGTGTTGGGACAGAGGCAGAGTCAAAGTCAAGAGGTGAAAAGAGACAGCGATAATGTGAACATATGCGTAGCTGTTTAACTAACTGTTAGGACAAGTGTGTCAGGATTTACAAATAATAATTCAATAAACAAATTATTTATCTCAATTAACATGGGGACTCAGTGACATACTATTAGATTTTGTTTTGGAATCTGTACTCTGCATTTTGCTCCCTGCAGAGTCAATTTATCTTACTGTCCTACTCATGTCTTGCATTAAACTCTGTTAAACAGCTTGCGCAGTGCAAACATTGCTCACTGGCTTTCGACAACATAGTTAGCTCTCTCCTAGCATTACAATAGCTAACATCCCCCTATTCCTCACATATCACGCCACCAACCTCTGCATCCAGCGTATCATTCTCCGCCACTTCCACCATCTACAATCCAACACCACCACCACGGATATTTCCCTCCCCACCCCTATCTGCCTTTCATAGTGACTGCTCTCTCCACTACTCCCTTATCAGCTCCACACTCCCCACTAACCCACCATACTCGGCACTTTTCCCAGCAGGAATAGCTACAACTGCCCCTACAGCTCCCCCCTCACCTCCATTCACAGCCCTAAACACACCTTCCACATCAGACATGGATTCACCAGCACATCTGTCAACATGGTTTACTGTATACGCTGCTCCCAATATGGCCTCCCCTACATCGGTGAGGCCATTTCGTAGAGCATCTGCATTCTGTACGTGACAAACGAAAACACCTTCCGGTTGCCAACCACTTTAACTTCCCTCTCCCACTCCCTGGGTGACATGTCCATCCTGGGCCTCCTCCAGTGTCACAATGACACCACATGCAAACTGGAGGAGCAGCACCTCATTTTCCACCTCGGGAGCCTACAGCCCAATGGCCTAAACATGGAATTAACCAGTTTTAAAATCTCCCCATCCCCGGCCTCATCCCATGTCCAACCCTCCCTCTCATCTCCATCTCCTTGACCTGACACAACCTGTCCTTCTTCTCTTCCACCTACTGCGCACCCATCCCACTGACCAATCCCCACCACTCCCTACCTGCACTAACCATCCCACTGAATACAGGACATGCAACTGAAGATCTGCATTCTGTATAAAAAAAAGGGTCTCCATCTGTTATAGAGACATCTCATGTAAGATGTGCAGAAGGATATTTTCTCACTGTAATGTTTGTCTTGTACCAGTCACCATCCCACCTACCTTGTCCAGCCCCACCCTACCCTCTCCATTTATTTCCCAGATCCCTTCCCCCTCCCCATTTCCGAAGAAGGGTCCTGACCTGAAACATCAACTTTCCTGCTCCTCTGATGCTGCCTGGCCTGTTGTGTTCCTCCAGCTCCATACTGTGTTGTCTCTGACTCCAGCATCTGCAGTTCTTGCTATCTCTGCCATTATATTCTTAAAGGTTAGGCAAATAGACTGAAAAAGGACGTAAGGATATCCTTGAACACACATGCCTGCCCCTCCTTTATTATTCAATACTTTTAATTACAACCACCAGGTACAAGACAAACATTACAGTGAGAAAATATCCTTCTGCACATCTTACATGAGATGTCTCTATAACAGATGGAGACCCATTTTTTTTTTTATACAGAATGCAGATCTTCAGTTGCATGTCCTGTATTCAGTTTTTGCACAAGTAATAATCCTGTCTATTAAGGCCTATCTCCATAACTAAAGTACTGGCTAATTTAAAATTGGGCTGGGCTTCTTAATAGATTGCTGCATAACATGGCAAAAGCAGACAAGCTTACAACATACTTATTTAATACATTTATTTCTGCTTCCAGAAGACATTCATACCTAGCTGGGTCTAAGCATTTATTGAGAGCAGGGTGTAGAAAATAAAAGTATCTGTCTCTTTCAAATTTATAAGTGTCTGAACTGCACCAGTTACATTCAGACATTACATTCTGTTACAAAGTCAAATCTTATGAAAAATGAGCAACTTTCTGTAATGTTTAAAAACCATGAACTTATTTACACATACAAATCTCAAGCTGTTAACACCAACAGGTTTGGTGTTCTTGTTTTGAGACAAAAAAAACACCATTTCACCAAAGAACAGTTCTTTCCAAACCATCGGTTCAAAATTTAAACAGAAAAAAGTTTTTTTAAAATGTGCTAACTGCAAGAGGACTGATGAATCTAGGCTTTTTAAGGTTGGTGGCTGTGCTGAGATCACAGGCATCACTGCTGTTACTAATATTTGATGCTTATCTCCATTTTCCGAAACAGGGAAACACACCATGCCAAGCTATTTCAGACAGTATAAAGCATGTTGATATTGGAAACAAAAACAGAAATAGCTGGAAAATCTTAGCAGGTCTGGCAGTATCTGTGGATACAAATCAGAGTTTACATTTTGGGTCCAGTGACTCTTCTTCAGAACGGATATCAGAATGGAGTCACATTGGATCAGGCCAGTTGCCCTCCCGGAAGGTGGTGAACAAATTGGACTTTGACGACAATCCCAAAAAAATCATGATCACTTGTCGATTTGCCTAAATTTTCTTTCCAAATTTTATTTCCTAAGTCACTACAAACAGACACCATTCACTTCTCACATTGTTCCATTACAAGGGGTTTGATGGGACGGACTCCACCTGAATCATACTGGGAGCAGAGAGGGTGGGGGGGCACAGCAAGTACTCAGATTTTGCAGCTTAATCCATCCCCTTCAATTTCTTCTTTCCAATGCGTGTTCACATGAAAAACATGTCTGACTGTTTGCCTTCCATCTACAGAGTTCGCTTCATTATTCCCTATACGTATACACCTGGGAGGCAACATAATATTATGGACTTTTCAACATGACGAAACAAAAAGAGAATTATCCTTCTAACTGTTGATAAACTCCCCAAAACTAAAAGCATTTTTTTTTTCCTGCTCAGTCTGCTCTTTCCTCTTTCCTGAAACTCTTCTACCCAAGCGTCTCCCCCATAATTAGAAATTACTTATGCCTATTGTCATTCGAGTAAACGTCTTTTGAAAGGATACACCATTGCCAAAGGACGGTGTCCAAAAATAGAACATCAAAATACAGCAAGTTATAAAGCCGTATCATGACTCGCATCCTAATGTTGCATAATGGAGACAGCTATTCCAAATTCAGAAATAATTTGTCAACTTCAATCTTTTGATACTTTATGCAAGTGTACCTTCTCTCCCCCACCTTAATTAGCCTATAGATCAGGGATGGTCACCATCACCCTTCCATCTAGGTGCTACTTCTTCCAAAACTAATGAAACCGGTTTATTTAACTTCAGCAGATTCTGAGCCTAAATACTCCTTCACATCCAATTCCCTTAACCTCAGTCTCTTGCTCAGTTTCTGCCTCACTACAGTCCTGTCTTTACAGACCTGTTTAAATGAGGAAGCTGCTCAGTTCCCTTCAGGCCTCCCTCTCAACAGTCAGTAGAGCTTTGTAATCACTAATCAATTATTTAATAAAGTGAAAAAGTTGCACAATTATGGGAGAAGGCACTAAGTGAAATGCTCGTTGCAGAGTTGGTAAAGACACAATAGGTCAAACGGTCTCCTTCTGTGCTGTAATAATTATGTCATTTTGTGTGAAGGCATTGTATTTCAGCATATGTGCATGAAACTGCTCAGCAGTTAATAAAATTTGAGATTGAAGACAACCATTATAACAATGACCAAGATACAACTCAAACAGTCATTTAAATTTGTGCAGAGATAGTAGGAACTGCTTTTTTTTTAAGGAGATAGAAACGGGTGGTGAGGGGTTGGGGAACAATGAGGTTGGAGGCTGTGGGTGGGAGGTCACCTGAGGTGATGAGGTTGTGGATGGTTTGGGAGATGATGTTTTGGTGGTCGGGGGTGGGGTCATGACCAAGGAGGCAGTAGGAGGTGGTGTCGGAGAGTTGGCGCCTGGCCTCGGTGATGTAGAGGTCAGTGTGCCATACTACAACTGCGCCTCCCTTGTCCGTGGCTTTTATGGTGAGGTTGGGATTGGAGCGGAGGCCTACACGTTCTGTGGGGGAGAGGTTGGAATGGGTGAAAGGGGTGGAGAGGTTGAGGTGATCGATGTCGCGATGATAGTTGGAGATGAAGAGGTCGAGGGAGGGTAGAAGGTCTTGGGGTGGTGTCCAGGAGGAGGGGGTGTGTTGGAGGCGGGAGAAGGGGTCAGTAGAGGGAGGGTTAGGTTTTTGTTTAAGGAGATAGAAACGAAGAAGGGTCAAGACCCGAAACATCAGCTTTCCTGCTCCTCTGATGCTGCTTGGCCTGCTGTGTTCATCCAGCTCTACACCTTGTTATCTCTTATTTAAATTTGTGCGTTACTTTCAGAAGTAACGTATTACAATCAATGCTCAATTTTCGTACTGAACGACTCGCATTTCAACCAACCAAACAACACTTGAAATCCAGATCATCTTATGTAAAAATTCGTATAATGAGATGTTAAAAAAAAATGCAATTAACTAACTAATCATCCCCATCAGGACATAGCAGATTTAGTTTTACTCAAAATAATTAAGTACAATTTCCTTCTGCAGAAAATATGTGCACTGAAGGCGAGTTTCACGAACAATTGCATTACAGAAAAGTCCGTTATTGTTGGGCTTTCAGAATATCCTGTCTACTTCTCTCGCTTGCTTCCAAATATCATAG